TCCTAAACTGGACAAATACCCTATTTCCTTATAATGGATTTACAATTCAAGACCTGAGCACCAGATGTGCTCATGGCTCCCCCTCATTCATTTTTGATATGGATATATATACAGACGTAGGTATATGTTTCCATATATATGCATATATTTCCATGTATCTATCTGTATCTGTGTCTATTTACTCTATCAAACCATGAGCGCATATCAATGTCTCTAATTCTAATCCACCAGTACCAGATCATTTTACCCTTCTCATTTCCATATTTGTAACTTCCTTTTCTGACAGTGAAAACTGTGGCTCCTATTATGCATAATATAATTACTAATAAGTAAGTTACAGAAATGGTAACTTATGCCCCTGCAAAAAAGAAGCCTACAAGACTCCAAAATTTGTATAAAGGTTTTTCTGTTCTCCTTAGCCTGATACATAGTATATATATATATTTTTTTCAAAGAATGTTTTCAAAAGTATCCTGCATTAGTTGTTTTTCCCCTGTCAGTATGTTATTCATTTCAAATAGTTTTATTTGGTTTTGTTTATATTCAATTTTGTGGTCTTTCCATTTTTTACTGATTCTTTTTTTTTAAAATGAAACATTAGCATAGTCCCCAAAGTCAGAACTCTATAAAAAGGCATAGAGTGTTACCCTCCCCATCTACCTCCTTCTACCCATCCCACTCATGTCCTGTACAATCTACTCTCATTAATCTTTGGTTTATCCTTCCTGTGCTTCTTTTGCACAAAAGAGCAGATTCACATATATTTTTTACTTTTTAAAGGTGGTAAAATATTGTACTTTACTTTTTCACTTAATAATATATTCTTGAAATCACTCCACATCAGTTCATAGAGATCTTCCTCATAATTTTTTCAGCTGCATAGTATTCCATATACCATAGGTTAAATATTCTCCTTTGTATGGACATTTAGGTTGTTTCCATTATTTTGAAATTATAATAATAATGCTATAATTAATAACTTTGATATCCAATTTTGAATTGTTGAAGGAAGAGCTTCAAGGTAAATTCCTAGAAAAACACAATTATTTTTAAATACTATCTAATCAAAACCTAAGTTTCCATATATATGTGTGGGTCTATTTCTGTCTGTCAATTCTGTTCTACTTATGTATTTCTACACTAATATCACTTAGTTTTCATTATTAGAACTTCATAATAAGGCTTGATGTTTAATAGGAAAGCCCTCCCTCCTTATTCCTCTTTTCATATTGTCATAACTATTTTTTTTGTCTTTATTCAGTCAATTGAGTTTTAGGATTTACCTCAATCCCATTTAGCTCCTAAAAAACTGTTATCATTTTTATTGGAATTGCATTAAATTTATATAGTAATGTAGGAAAAATTGTCATATTTATGTTATCCAAACTTCCTGCCTATGGACATGCTATATCTAACTATTAGATCTTTACAATATAGTTTTCTGATTTTCTCCATACTGGTCTTAAGTGGGATTTTTAAAATTAGACTTTCAAATTGATTGTTCCACTTCTTTGTGTTACTCTTTGTTGAATATATTTATATGATTCAAAAATCAAAAGGATATAATACAGTATACCTCAAGAAATCTTGCTTCCATACCTCTTCCTATATACCCTATTCCCTAATCCCTGCCTTGACTACTAATCATTATTCATTTTTGTCTACCCTTTCAGTATTGAACCCTTATATTACATCTTTCAGTTTGTTGATTTTCTTGGGATCCTACCTAATCCTTTTACCTCCAATTTCTTTTATGTATGTATGTACATGTGTTACTGCCTTGATGGAACCTCCAGTATAGTGTTAAATACAAGTGATGATAACAGGTACCCTTGTTCCTTAATTCAAAAGAAATGCTTCTAACTTTTCACCATTTCATCTAATGGTATGGATTTTGAAAGATAAATTTTCAATATAATTTTAAATGGGTATTGAATTGTAGTCAAGGATTTTCATTGTCTCCATTTTGCTAATATTTTTGTGCCTTCTTTTTTCTTTTGCTCACTACCCCATGCCTTCTCTTTTTAAAAAAATTCTTAGTCATGCAAGAAGTTTGTCTATTTACTAGTCTTTTTAAAAGACCAGCTTATGATTTTGTTAATCTTCTATATCATGTCCTTTTAAAAATCTCATTTATTTCTACTCCTTTTCATTTTCTCAAATATTATTGAGTTTCCTTGATTTCCCTTTACTACTTTCTTGATTTAAATAATTAATTCATTGATTTTCAATCTTTGTTTCTAATATGTATATTTAAGGATATAAATTATCCTCTATTTATTGCTTTAATTTTATCCAATAGTTCTAATATATAATGGCTTTGTTTTTATTCAGTTTCATTTCAGTTATCTATTGAAGTATAATAAACCAACTCAAAACTTACTGGCTTAAAATATATCATTTCTCAAAATTCTCTGGGCAATTTGGGCTGTTCTTCTGCTGGTCTTTCCTGAGGTTACTCATGCAGCTGTAGTCATCTGATCTAGGGCTAGAGGGTCCAAGATAATCTTACTCAAATAGAAGTTGACATTCGCTGTTGGCTGAAGTTATTCAGTTCTCTTCCATGTTCACTTCAAGCCTCCTTTGGCTAAAAGGGGCTTCTTCACAGCACGGTGGCCCCAGAATTTCAAGAGAGCAGGAGCAGTAGCTCAGGGCTTCTAAAGGTCTAGCCTCTGACAATTCACACAATGTCCCTTCTACCATATGCCATTGGTTAAAGAAAGTCACAAGTTCAGCTTAGATTCAAGGAGATGGACAAATAAGAGACGCCATCTCTTGATGGGAGTCAGTGGCAATATCACACTGCAAAAAGATGGTAGACATGAAAGTGGAGGCCATTACTATGAAAATCTACAAGACCTATATTGATTTCTATTGCTGTGTAACAAATTACCACCAATTTAGTGGCTTAAAATGATATCCATTTATCATATCACATTTCCATAGGTCAGAAGTATGACATTGTTCCACTGGTTCTCTGCTTAGGGTCTCACAATACCAAAGGCAAGGTGTCATTCAGGCTGGGCTCTTATCTGGAGGCTCTGGAGAAGAATCTACTTCCAAGCTCCTTCAAGTTGTTGATAGAATTCATTTCTTTGTACCTGTAGGATGAAGGTCCCTGTTTCTTTTCAGGCTCTCAGCAGGGACTGCTGTTAGCTTCTCAATGCCACCCACATTCCTTGACATGTAGTCCTCCTCCATCTTCAAGCCAGCAATGACATGTTGGATGCTTCCTGTGCTTCAAATCTCTCGGACTTCCTTTCTGCCCTCTCCCAGAGAAAACTCTCTGCTTTTAGAAGATTTGCCTGATTGGATCAGGCCCATCCAGATAATCTCTGTATTTAAAGGTAAACTCATTTGGTACTTTATTTACCATGTTTCCTGGAAAATAAGACCTACCCATACAATAAGCCCTAGCAGGATTTCTAAGCATTTGTGCAATATAAGCCCTACCTACCCCCAAAATAAGACCTAGTGATGGGCGTGGCTTACGCAGTGTATCTGCACAACCCATGCATTTCCTCATGGAGCAGTAAAGAAGACCAGCAGCCCTTCTCATCTGCCCCATTGTGACAGCTACTATCCCAGAGGTGACCAGAAAGATGCAGGCAGCCCCACCAACAAGGTCGGCTCCCCCTGTCAGGTCCCAGCCATCCTGTGTGTGCAGCAAGCTAAGGCTTTGAGGGGAAAATAACACATCCCCTGAAAATAAACCCTAGGGTGTCTTCTTGAGGAAAAATAAATGTAAGACTCCGTCTTATTTTCGGGGAAACACAGTACATCTGCAAAATCCCTTCACAGCAGTACCTAGATTAGTGTTTGATGGAATAATCTTAGGGGAGGGGGGCCATCTTCAGAATTCTACCTAGCACAATACCTTGTATTTGATTTCCTCTGTGACCTATGAATTAATTACAAGAATGTTTTAAGTTTCCAAATGTATGTGAGTCTTTTGGCCTATATTTTAGTTATTGATTTGTAATTTCACTACAGTGTGATCCATATGTATTTGTTGAACCTCTCTTTGTGTTCTAGCATGTGGTCAACTTGTGCTTGAAAAGAATATGTGTCCTCTAATAAGTGCAGAGTTCCACATTGGTGTTTGAACTCAAGCCTTTTAATTGCATTATATATATATCTGTATATATCTTTATTTTTTTTCTATTTGATCTATCAGTTTCTGAGAGAAGTATTAATATAATAGGATCTTCCCTAAATGTGGGAGATCTAAAGATCTAAAGATCTTCCCTATTTAAAGGAAAGATTTAAACTAAACTCATTTAGTTTAAAGATGAGGAAACTGGGCCCAATAAAGTTAAGTGACTTGCTTCAGATCCCACAGCTAGATGTGGTAGAGCTGGGGTATGAACTCAGGTATTTCTCATATTGACATCTGGGATATTTACTTCAAAGAGAAAAATCCAGTAATTTTTATTTTGTTCATTTCTCTCATAATAATAATAGTCCCTTTGTCAATTTGGAGTCATATTGGCCAATAGAAAACTGAGGGTCTCTCTCATTATTTTCAATTTGATCTTAGACTGATATGCAAGTTATTCAAGTCTAACTATGGAAGAGTTATTTTTAATAGTTAAAAATAGATGCCAATCATAAATTCCCACAATATCCTCTACCCAATTTCCATCTGAATCAAGGACAAGAACCCTCAGCCAGCATTACAACAGGAAGAAATGATTCAGAAAGACTAGTGAAGCACCTTCACTAATCCTTGACTTGGTTTATGTTCTGGTACAATATTGCTCCAACTTTTAGAACTTCCTAACCAGAAAAACATACCTAAATATATGATTTTTAAACACAGGCCAAGTAGAGGCTTCCCAGATTTGACCTCTCCTTTGTTATCAGTATAATGACCAAATCTAGAGCTCATCAGACTTCAACTATTATGCATTAATGGCAATCTGCTGTTTCTGGATTACTTGATACCCACCTCTGTGGCCGAAAAGGGCATTGTGTAAGGATAATTAATAAACACTCACTTTCAGGCAGACCAGTGCCAGATATGCCCATACTTCAGCACTGTAGTTGTTTAATGCATTGGCTTCAGAGAGAGCATCCTCAGCCTCTGTGAGCTCCTCCAGCTTAACAAAAAAGGGACACATGACACATGTGAGTTGTAAGTCAAAGTAGTTTTCACTTTAGCCAGCTAGAGTAGGCTTAGCTAAAACTACTATGTCCAAGTAATATTGATATATGTGACCTATACCAATGGTTTTTATATTTTTAGCATCAGAATTCTTTCTTCAAACAAAATCTTATGTGGTGGTTCAATATATGAACTGATTAAAAGTGGAACATCTCTGATTAAAAATCCAAGTAGAGGAATCTGGAGCCCTGCCTAATAAGTTCCCAACTTATAACCCTCTCCTCATCTTTCCCTCTATAGCAGTCTCATCAGGGCATCTATAAAACATGGAGCTCCAGGTACTAGGACTGGAAATCCTTAGGAAAGCCCACCACATGTACATCATTCAGTGGTTTCTCTGTATACAGTGGTCTGTCAGATACATTTCTAGGTTTTTTCTTTACATTGTTCATCCCTTTCTTCTCCATGGAAATCTTTAGTAAAAGGCAAAAAATTTATAAGATCTGAAGAGAAACCAAAGTATGCGTACGTCCCTTTCTTGAGGTTAAAGTCTGATTTGCCTGTCAAAATACTATTGTCTAGAAAGTTTTCTTTCCCCTAATATCAGTTACTATCAGCCCAATCCTGAGCAATCAATATAGTATTCAGAGACTCTAGGGTGTTCTATTTTCCTCTATTGCCTGGGCAATGGCATCATTATCCTCACTGCAACCAAATGGGCTCAAGCGATCCTCCTGCCTCAGCCTCCCAAGTAGCTATGTGCCACCATGCCTGGTTAATTTTTCTATTTTTTTGTAGAGACAGGGTCTCGCTTTGTTGCCCAGGCTGGTCTTGAACTCTTGGCCTCAACCAATCTCCCTGTCTTGGCCTCCCAAAGTGCTAGATGTGAGCCACCATGCCCAGCCTGAAGAGCAGCTTTTTATTAGAGCAGACTTCTCTGGTTGCCCTCCCACTGTCACCAAAAAACCCCAGGGTTCTTGGAAGACTAAGGAATCAAGGTCAGCTGTATGCACAGGCCTAGTCTCAAATCTTCCTCCTCTTACCCGGTAACAGGCGATTCCCAGTCCTAGCCAGGTAAGGCATGAAGGCGATCTCTTACAAGCTTGCAGGTAGGTTTTTTTTGCCTTTTCATACTGTAGAAAGAAAGCACCACTAAGCTACTGTTCTGGAAGCTTCAAATATTGTATTGCTAGGATGATCATGGGACCTCTTCATAGTTGCACTCCAGAACAACCTAAGTTAAGTGAGTCCTTGAATTGTTATGTTTACTTTAAGGGAGCTATCCAAAGAAGCCTGGTGAGGGGAGATGAGCAGATCAAATGAAAGGGAAGATTTTTGCCTGGAAGCAGTTCTAAAGAAATTTACAGTCTCTGTGAGAGTTGAGGCAAGGAGTTACAGTGAACACTCTGGGTGATCACAATGATTATCCGAATTCCACCTAGACTTTATGCACTGCCCTCTTTTGCTTAAATGTGTTATCATGTAGTAGGATGACAGAAAATCTCTGGACTAAGAGGTATACTTTATATAGCCTTATCATTCTGAGAATCTGTTCCCTTGTTGTAAAAGGTCTTAGAATTTTAGAAAAACTCAAAAAACAAACTTGCAAAAGAAGTAGCCCTGAAGGGGCCATTTCTTGTCTTGTATCTCCAATGTGAGAAATGGATCTATAGTTTTGCCTCAGCAAACAGCCTGAGAACTGCTTACCTAGTGAGTGCTTAGGGCAACAGCACTCTGAAGGTGCAGCTTGTAATGACAATAGAAAGAAAACTTTTCCTTATTTACTTCACTGCAATGGGATAGTGATTTCTCTTAAACCTATTTGAGCCTTTCCACTTACATTATAAGGCATTGTAACTTCTTGTTGCTGTTGTTGTTTTTATATTAAATATAAAGAGAGTTGGGTATTCTGAGGGGAAAAAATGGAATAAAGTCAAAACAAAAGCAGGGAGTCAAAGGTCTCTGGCAGAAAGTTGATAATTGTTATAGTGAGATGGCAGGTCCATGGTGGTTCATTGTACTATTCTGTCTACTTTGTATTTATTTGAAATTTTCTATAAGACAATGTTTTTTTTTCCAAAGGCCTTGGCATATTTCCCAAAATATGGGGAGAGATTGCTTCTATAGCCAGGTCAGAGTGCCCTATGGAATGAGATTAGCCTCAGCTAGATTAAATATAACCCTTTCTGTTGAGTAGGCAGTTTGGAGAAGTCATTTTGAAGCCCATGACACTTTGTTAGTTAAGTCAAGCTACAAATGTTTCTACTAATGAAAATAAAGTTTCTACTACTGCTGATAAAATACAATTTTAGTTAAAATAGTAGCTAAAATTTAGTAGCTAAATTTAGTAGCTAAAATAGAATTCATTTACTGAGTTCTTAATAACTTTTTAGTAGCATAATGGTTAAAACCACAGACTCCTGATTTTAGAATGCCTGGGTTTGAATCCTGCTTCCACTGATTACTGGTTATCTGATGTTGGGCAAGTCACTTTATCTTTGGATATACAAGTGTCATTGTCATATTACTATTTTTAGTCCACACACAGATAGATATTAATGCTTGAACTACAATTAGGTCCCAGACCCTGGCTTCCTTTACATGGATACTCCCCATCCTCTATCCCTTACCTCTTTCTCTTCTAGATAGAGAAGCCCCAGTCGCAGGAAGATGAAGTGCATCCCAGAAGCATCTACTACAAAACTAATGGTTCGCTCATAGCACGCCTTGGCCTCAGCATGATTTCCACTTAGAAAATAGAGATGGCCCTTCACACCCCAGACATTAGGGTTCTGAGAACATGAAGAACAAGTGGTATATGGGATGATGTGATACTTAAAATACCTTAATGACCTTTGTTTAACATTTAAATTTAGACTAAATCCATTTGCTTTTTCTAATAGCACTCAGAAAGAAAACCATTTAATTGCACTGGGAAATATTTTTCTAGGTCTATCCTCTCATTTCTTTCTTGCATTATTCAAAGCCATTTTGCCCTTTGGGTAAATATTAAAAAACAAAACAAAACAAAACTCTAAGCATAACCACGATAGGGTTCACAATGAGAAAATAGAAGTCTGGAAAACTTAAAATAGGTAAACACCATCTGCTAAAAAGCTGTCCTTATTCTTTTCTCCACCCTTTGCAAAACTCATGATTACTTAAGAAAAACAAATGGAACAGATGTGTCTACTGACAGCTGAAGACCCCCCACTGCTGGTCACCATAAATCTGCCAGGAATATGGCATCACCACCTTTAATAAAGCCTGCTCGCCCCTTCTCCGGACTCAAGAGGCTCTAGCAAAAGTCATTACCAGGTAGTCCATCTGGGCTGCTTGTTGAAGGTATTCCTCTGCCTTGGCAAAGTCCTTCTTGAGAAGGTGTGTCTGGGCCAGCACCAAGTAATACTCACAGCTGGGGCCACCCTGAGGGCATAGCAGCTCATGTGCAAGCACTCTGTGCACATACTGCAAGGAAAATCAGATTATAAGGAACAGTAAAAGGCTAGATTGTGTCAGTCCCATAGCTTTCAAAGTTGAAGGATTCTGTCTTTGATAATAAATAATAAGGAACATATTATCAAGTGAAATGATTATCCTTAACTTCAAAAAGTTAGGGGTGAATTACAAACATTCAGCACTTCATGGTTCCATTATAGCTATCCACTTAGTCACCAAATGAAGACATTTCCAAGTGAATAACCTATAATATCTCACAATTTTGGTTTTGCTGGTCCTCACACTAGGTGAATGTTAGACTATATTTATTATGCAGCAGACAAAGGCACATCATCAACCACCCATTTACATGTGAGGAAATATTTTTAGGCAACTATCATTGTAAGGAAACTTACAGTGAGGCAAAATTACCCTTCTAAAATTCTAGACTTAGGATCTTGGAAACATAAAGGTCTGTTTCTGATGCACCTCCAAATATTCGTTTACCAGTTTTATACTTTAGGCCAATTTTTGTTTTACCTACAAATTTGACAAAGTCAGATGTACTTGCTAAGCTAAGGGAAATCCTTATTTTCTTTTCCCTCTGTTTCCATCTCAGCCTAAATATAGAAACTTGCACTAACCCTTATGCCTTCTTAGGAAAATACTAGAGGGAACAAATGTAGCTGCAGCTGTTTTCTCTGCCTGCCTTCTGGTTTTCTGAACTGGGGGATAATTAATGACTTATTTACCTGGGAGGTAGTGAGAAGCCTGTTTCTCTATTGGGAAGGGTTAGTGTGTTAAAGGCTCCTGTTGAATGTGGCCTAATCCCACTCAGTTTGTAATTAATGCCCTTTCCTGAGCTAGCCTGCCCTCAAATGGGCAAGCGCTCTGCAGGATCAGGGCCAATGAATGCTCTTGGCTCCTGAACCTTGCTCTCTTTCCTACTGCTTGCTCTTGGATATGCTTCTTGTTTCTCATGTGGTAGGTAGACCTCACAGCATGCTCTTCTTCTCTGGGAGGAGGCTTCAATTCTTCAGTTGCTCTACCTGTGACTGCATGGGTAAGTCAAATGTGGAATCAGTTACATTCTTCAGCCCAGTTTTAATATTTTTATCCCTCCCCCCAATATAGCACTGTGTATGTTTCCAATTGGTTCAGAACCTAGAAGGGAAGAAGGGAATGTTTAAACTCATGTGAACCCCCAATACTCACATAATATGAATTCCCATAACAAAGTAACATCAGGCAACATATGACTTAGAATCTGACTTTGCTGGTATTCTAAAGGGAGCGACTTGCAGTGAGATCTTCTAATGTCATCTGCAGAGAGTGATTTTTTTGGAGATTCTTACCTATTGGGCTTAAGGTGTGCTCTTAAAAGCATATTTGATTTCTACTTCCTACGTATCTAAATTTGCATAGATACCATTATGGATAGAACAAGCAGTTCACTAAAGTCTTTCCATCTACTTGCCCTTTCCAAATATTCTGACCTGCACAGCATTAACTTTCATCAAGAAACGTATGGTCTCCATGAAGATAGTGGTAGGAGGAGTTTGGGAAACACCATAATAATGGTCAGACTGCATAAAAGCTGATAAATCTTGACATTTTGATGCTTCTGAAAAATATTAAAAGGATTAGATGTAATAGAAAAAAATGTCAGAAGTTCAGACACACTAATATAGCAGGAAGAGTATTCTAATACATGAGACGATCATAATCTGAAAAGCAACAGACTGCTCTTTAAAAATGGTCCCCAAAGAGAAGAACTTAAATGTTCTTGAGGTGAATCTACTAGTGGTTCCAATTCAAGTCACAGCCAAATAAAAGGGTTTTTAAAACAATATTCAGATCTCCTTGAATGTGAAACACAACTGTGGACATTTTAAAAATGAAGAATTGTTAGAAAACCAAGTCTGTAGTTAGCTACTTCTGTGAGCTAAATATAAACTGCTTGCATATTGAAAGAGTTACAGCACTGAGTTTGGATTTCAGAGCCTAGCCTAATATGAAGGAATTTGGGCAATGTGACAGATAAACTAATCAACTTCAAACAAATCAGGATTGCCACTTTTATAATCTCCCACTTTTAAAACCACAAGAGTTTTCATCCTTGTCTAGTTTGTTTATGTCCCTCCTCCAAGTGGAAATCTTTATTTCTGGTTACCTTTTTTTGCTGGTATTTCCTTGAGAAATATGTTAGATGGTTTTATGGCTATACTTGGATCCTGAGCTTGTGTAGTCAAAATGGGTTCTCGTGAATCAGCCTGAAGTTTGGAGGATTCATCAAGAAATTCATCTAGAATGGATAATGCAGCTCCTGGTACTAAATAGATAAAATTTTAATGAAAAAAAAAAAAAACAAAACCAACTTCCTATACTGGGTGTTAAAAGATTATTTGCAATGCCTAAGAAACATATTCCCTAAATATTGCATGAAGGACAGATTTGTTTAGTAGACTTGTTAATATTTCTGAATAATTTAAAGAATACTAGCTAAACTGATAGTATAGTTTCCATCACTGTTACTGCCCAGTACAACCCTGATGCTAGTCCAAGTCATGACAATGTCAAACAGATCTCTGTTTTAAAAGTCACTTAATAAATCCAGAATCTCAAGAATCCATATGAGAAGATTAATATATTCTTAGATAACATAAATCCCCTAAAGGACAGGAATTGTACTCATCAGTGTTCAAATAATAATAATGATAATAATAATAATAAATGTAGCTATATTTGAATACATCTATATGCCAGGTACTATACTAAGGAATTTAATGTACAATCTCATTTGTTTTTCACATTATGAGATATTATTTTTATAATCCTTATTTTAAAAAAGTAAATCACACAGTAGCTAAATAATCTGCTGAAGCTCTTAAACATGCCACGCTGCCTCTCAAATAAATGTTTGACAAATAAAACCAAAAACCAATGCCAGGCAGAAAATGATCAGTGCCAGTTGGCCCACAAATCAGAAAAGGTCACTCTTGGCTAACGCAAAAATATGGCTTTGAAAAACAGATATAAATGGATAGGTAAAGAGGGAGAGGTATTCAAGGTTGGGAGCATGCCACTGGCAAAAGCATAGAAATAGTGAGCTAATTATTTTAATGGTCTTGAGGATTTCACAGGGAAAATCAAGGGAAAGGTAGGTTGGGGCTAGATTGTATTGATAGTTGAATGCCAGGATTTTTCTCCTGCAGGCAAGAGGAGAAGAGGGGTATATTGAAGAGTTTTGAGCAGAAAAATTAAGAGTATAGTGGTATTATATGAAGATTACTTTAGCAGTGCTATGTAGCAAGGAGAAAAAATTGGAGATGGATACAAAGAGGTTTGTTTTTGCTACAACGATCTGGATATTTAGTAATGGAGAATAGTGAAAATCTAAAGGGAAGATGCAAGGAACATTTTGAAAGAGAACCAATTGGTCTTGGGAATTAAACCTGATAGAGGGATGAGGCAAAGCTCAAGAAAGGCAAGAAGAGGAAACTCTATAATGAGTCAATTTGGAAGATGAAGAGTTGAGTTTACTAGTGGAAAAATCCAACTTCAGGGTTATGGGGGGATGTCAGGGTTAAAGATAGAAATTTGAGAGTTATTAGCAGTGAAATGGAAACTGTGTGGGCAGGTGAGCTCTTCGAAAGTAAGACTGAATTACTGGGAAATGATTATATCTTACGAGTGTGACCAAAAAGAAAAGCTAGCAAAGGAAACCACAGGTGTTGGAGATAAGAAGGCAATCAAAGATGTATTTCAGGAAGCAGAGAGTCATTAAATACTGCAAACTAATCATTGAAGAATAACTGATGATCTTAATGCAAAAAAATTGTTAATATTCAACTTTTTTGAGGTATAATTTACATATAATAGCGTCCCATTTTAAGTATATAATAGTTCAGTGTGTTTTAACAAAATGTATACAGTTGTGTAATCTCTATTACCATCAAGATATGAAACATTACTGATACTCCAAAAAGCTCCCTCATGTTCCTTTGTAGATAATCCCCAAGCCCCAGTCCAAGGCAACCACTCATGTGCTTTCTTTTGGTATAGATTTGTTTTGCTTTTTCTACAATTTCATTTAAATGGAATCATACAGTATGCACTCTTTTGCAGCTGGTTTATCCACTTAGCATGTTTTTGAGATTCATCCATGTTATATGTATTAATAATTTGTTCCTTTTTATTGCTGAGTGTTTTTTCAATTGTGTGGATATATGAACATTTATTTTACATTCACCTATCAATAAGCAGTTGGGTTGTTTCCAGTTTTTGCCTATTATAAATAAATCTGTTATGAACATTTGTGTATAAATCTTTGAAAGGATATGTTTCCATTTCTCTTGGGTAAATACATAGGAGTGAAACTGCTGGCATGTGTATGTATGTTTAACTTATTTCAAAAATTTCCAGTTTGTGCTTATTTTGTCAGCACATACGTTAAAATTAGAATGATACAGAGAAGATTAGCATGGCCCCTGCACAAGGATAACATACAAATTTGTGAAGCACTCCATATTTTGTACACATGTAACAAAATATCATATGTACCCCATAAATATATATCAATAAAAAATAAGAAAAATAGGCTGGACACAAAAAATATGTATCAATAAAAAATAAAAAAAAGATAGGCTGGGTGTGGTGCTCATGCCTGTAATTCTAGCACTCTGGGAGGCCCAGGTGGCAGGATCACTTGAGGTCAGGAGTTCGAGACCAGCCTGAGTAAGAGTGAGATCCCATCTCTACCAAAAATAAAAAAATTAGCTGGGCATGGTGGTGCATACCTATAGTCCCAGCTACTCAGAAGGCTGAGGCAGGAAAATCACTTGAGCCCAGGTTCAGGAGTTTGAGGTTTCAGTGAGCTTTGATGATGCCACTGCACTCAAGCCTAAAGCCAGGATGACAGAGCAAGACCCTGTCTCAAATTAATTAATTAATTAATTAAAATGTAAAAACTTGAAGAAAACCTTTAAATATGTGCCAGTTTTCTCAAGTAGATGTACCATTTGCATTCTCACCAGCAATGCTTGAGAGTTCCAGTTACTCCATATCCTTTCTCTAACTTGGTATTATCAATCTTTTTATTTTTTTTATTTATTTTTTTTTTTGAGACAGAGTCTCGCTTTGTTGCCCAGGCTAGAGTGAGTGCCGTGGCGTCAGCCTAGCTCACAGCAACCTCAAACTCCTGGGCTCGAGTGATCCTTCTGCCTCAGCCTCCCGGGTAGCTGGGACTACAGGCATGCGCCACCATGCCCGGCTAATTTTTTTATATATATATCAGTTGGCCAATTAATTTCTTTCTATTTATAGTAGAGACGGGGTCTCGCTCTTGCTCAGGCTGGTTTTGAACTCCTGACCTTGAGCAATCCGCCCGCCTCGGCCTCCCAAGAGCTAGGATTACAGGCGTGAGCCATAGCGCCCGGCCTATCAATCTTTTTAACTTTGACTATTCCAGAAGTCAATTACACTAATTTTCAAATGTGAAACCAAACTTAGAACCCTTGACCCTCATACTCATTCATACAACACAAACCTTGTTCAGCCTCAGAGGTTCCCAAATGTCCCCTAGTTCGTTCCTTTCCTTGTTCTTCCCTGAGTCTTCTGCCTATAGAGATAAACCTCTGAGATCCACCAGAGAACTGAGGACTGGATGATGAAGGAAAACAAAATATTTCTCCCCCAAATATTGAGGATTGTTAAGTTAAAGACAATGAAAACACAGAGGAACACTTTGCTGCTCTCTGCCTGATGGTAGGACATAAATCCTCCCTTATTGAAGACAGCACTTGCTTATCAGCCCAGAGAAAACCAACAGGCACCAGAGGAATCTGGAACAGATTTTACTATCTTCCCACATTTTCCTGCCCTTTAGAAGACTAGAACTGCTCTCTCCTTTGTCTTGTTACTATATAGGATTTATGGCTCTCTGTTAAAATTCTATTTAAGCAAGGCCCCTAAGCCACTGCCTTGAGAGAGAAATATTTTTAAACTGAGGTTTCTCCCATGTGATGGGTACGGCATACTTCTGCTTGTTTTTCTTTTGTTAACTGGACTTTTGTTTTCAGAAGTTTCTCAACTAAAAACCTAAAATGGAGGAGGAAAAATTATGTTTTCTCCCCTACAATGACATCCCAGTGTTTTTTCCAAGCATGTATCTCTCAGGAGGGAGAATTTGCATTAATTAAGACCAACTAAGTGTGAAGCATCCACTATTTGTCTTACACTAATGCTCTCTTACATGAGGTGTGAGATCCTTAAGGGTAACCCATTGGAGAGTAGGAAGAACATACTTGGACTTATATTTAGTTTCCAATCCACAAAATAAGCAAAGTACTAATTTTACTCATATTTAATGGAAACTAGCACCTTCATGCCTGCCATATGATGTATCTTGAGGGCAGAATGGATGTTCCAACCACACAGAAAGCTAACAATGGTATCCTTAGGCTTTTATTCATTCAATTTTAACATATTGAGACAAATCATAATAAATATTAATGGATTTATAGATTACAAAATAATCCTCACAAAGTAGACAAGTGGCTTAAAAAGAAGTCATGGATTGAAAATAATACTGAAATGTAAATACAAGCAAATCACACACACACATACGCACACACATAAATGGTAGGGGGAAACTTCTATTCCCAGAATGAGATGTATTAGGCAGCCATGTTACAAGAACAATCAGATCTGACAACAAGTTGATTAAAAAAGAGAGAGGAAAAGTGGGTAAAGAAGACCATTTGGGGCCGGGCGAGGTGGCTCACACCTGTAATCCTAGCACTCTGGGAGGCCGAGGCGGGCGGATTGCTCAAGGTCAGGAGTTCGAAACCAGCCTGACCAAGAGCAAGACCTTGTCTCTACTATAAATAAAAAAGAAATTAATTGGCCAACTAATATACATAGAAAAAATTAGCCGGGCATGGTGGTGCATGCCTGTAGTCCCAGCTACTGAGGAGGCTGAGGCAAGAGGATCACTTGAGCCCAGGGGTTTGAGGTTGCTGTGAGCTACACTGATGCCACGGCACTCACTCTAGCCTGGACAACAAAGTGAGACTCTGTCTCAAAAAAAAAAAAAAAAGAAGATTATTTGGAATATGAATTTATATCCACAATCTTTAAGGTGATCCTCCCTCTAAATGTATATTACACTTTTTGATTCTAGCTAATGGTTATAAAACCATCACATTTATCAATGTGTTTTAAAAAATAAACAACCAGAACCTGAAGACAAGTCTCTCCAGTTTTTCAGCAATGTTTAAAGTCATGAAAAATCAATCCTATGTGTTAGGAAATTTTATTAAATTTAATGATACATATATAATAGTAGTCTCTTTTGGGGTTTCTTATGTAATAGTAAAAGACAAAAAGCCATATGCTTTTGGAGTAATACTTTCTGACCATGAGAAATACTTCCTGACTTCCTGGCTGAAATACACAGAAAACAGTATGGAAAAAAACTAATATGCATTCATTTGTCAGGAAAAGAACATTGAAAATTGTTGAATGATGCTTAGACAATACTGCTTAGGATTTGAAGCAAGAATTATTATAAGGACTTGCTCAGTATAAGAGGTGTCTTATACAGTTGGATGGAAGTATAGATGTCTAACATGTTTCAGCTTATGATAATTCCTAAATTTTATTTCAATAAAGAAATATCACAAAAATTTCCCTTCTTTTTAGAATATAGAAAGCCACAAGAGCTCATTGCTGCCTCTCTAAGTGATGAGAAAAAGCTGGCTAAGGATTTTTAAAAAGTCATTAAATGTTTTTGAGCCCATTGGAGAGCAGAGGTCTCAAATCAACATATTTAGGTTAATTAAATTCCAGGGAATGGTCTGGTCCCAAGGTAGTGAGTTATCTCACGTTGATTGTTCACAGTCAGTTACAGATTGGACTCCTTGTTCTACTACTTTCCCCCCTCCTCACTATTGCACTTGACTAATCCTAAAAAAAAAAAAAATTCCAGGGAATGAGAAGCTTGTCTGATCAGAGATAAGACACATAAACTGTTTCACCTTTGGTAGCATATAGGGGAAAGAAGGAGTTGCCAAAAAGCAGGTAGGGAGGAAACTTCTGAAATTTTAATGAATTCTTAAGGGCCAAGTGTGGTTCTAGTATGACAATTTAGAATCCCTTGAAACCCCAGACCCAAGGGGATCCCATACTCACTCCCCAGCTTTTTTGTATTAGCCTCCACTAAGTGCTCATGAAAAAGATTGGGGACCTAGGAGAGCTCTCCCTTCTGTATGCACAGGCATGGACTCCACTTGCTTCACAGGTTCTTTTTTCATAGGAATCAAAAATCATATGCTTCTGGGGACACAGGAGATAAGCAATTCTCCTGTTCCCTGGTCCTAGGCACAGAGCTACCACCTCTGGGATAGGAGCAGAAGTAAAAGCCAACTGCTGCTGGAGAGGAGAAGGAAGCAAGCATGCTTTGCTGGAGAGATGGACAAAGCATTCATAGACTTAAAAGGTATGACAATAATACCACTAAGGATGGGAGGGAGGATGTGGAAGTATACTGTGATAAGGTTCTACCACTATTCTTCAAGAGGTATAATATTTGAAGGTAGGCTGTATATTGTAAACTCTAGAGTAATCACTAAAAAGTAAAACAAAGAAGTGTAACTATTAAGTCAGGAGTAGAGATAAAATAGAATTATTAAAAACCCTAATTAATCCAAAAAAGCAGGAAAAGTGAAAAAAAAGAACAAAGTGCAAATGGGACAAATTATCAGGTGGTAGATTTAAATCTAACCATATTTATAATTACATTAAATGCAAATGTCTAAATATTTTAAATAAATGACTGAGATTGTCAGATTGGAAAAAAAAGCAGGACTGGCTATGTTATCCACAAAAAAACCTACTTTAAATATGAAGACATACATAGGTGGAAAATAAAAAGACGAGAAGAGATATACCATACAAGCAGTAATTTATAAAAAGGCAGAGTAGCTAAAATCAATATCAGAAAAAGTAGACTTCACATTAAGAAATATTCCCTGTTATAAAGAGGGATATTTCATAATGATAAAGGGGCCAATATATTAAGAAGATATAACAATCCTACATATATATGTACCTAATAAAAGAGCTTCAAAATACATAAAACAAATACTGATGGAATAGAAAGAAGGACTACACAAATACATAATTGTGGTTGGAAACTTCGAACAGGAATACCTAAAGAAATAATTTTGAGTTAATAAAGGAAAACCCATGCAAAGAAGATTTATTTTCAAAAGTGGGTGGCTTCTTAATAAACTCAATGATTTTAGGAAAATTGTGTAAATGTAATCATTAATGGAGTGGTTGCTTTGAATGATATACAAAAGAGCATTCAGAGGTAAGGTTATATAGGTAATACTTTAGATGAAATGAGTTCATTAAATTATTAAAAAGCAAGTTTTCATCAATGCTGTTGAAGCTAGAAGTACCCTAGAGGCTAAAATATATCACCAATTTGGTAATTTTTATAAAAACAAGGCTATAAAAACACACTTTAATATTAACAATACTCTGAATGAGATGTGTAGTGACTACCAACATCCTTTATACCACACAGAGATTTTTTTGATTATTTTGTTGCAGAACACTTAAACTTTAAAACAAATTGAGCAATTTCCTTTTATAAAAAGGAGAAGGGTTCTGAATTCTACTCTTTTATCAGTGAGGACAGGTCCCCTTAGAAGTATGTTCCCTGGCTGGGCATGGTGGCTCATACCCATAATCCTAGCACTTTGAGAAGCTGAAACAGAGGATCACTCAAGGCCAGGAGTTCAAAACCAGCCTGGGCAACATAGCCAGATCCTGTCTCTATAAAAAAAATTTTAAAAATAGCCAGGCATTAAAAAAGTATGCTTCTTAAAAGATATTTTAAAAATAATAAACACATGTATTAATATTTTGATGTTTCAAGGTTGTGGTGATACCAGCAATGACAGAGAAAGTAATTTCTTTGTGACATGAACTTGTGATATAGAGGGAGCATTTTGAAGATGAGTATTTATTAATATTTGGTAATGTGATCATGTAATTTTATAATAAAAAATGAAGTGCTACTTTTTAAATGCCCAGATCTGACCTTATAAAAACTTAGAAATATGCTTTTCTCACTATTTGAAAATCATGTTAGTTTTTTTTTTTTTAGACAGAGTCTCACTCTGTTGCCCTGGCTAGAGTGCCATGGCGTCAGCCTAGCTCACAGCAACCTCAAACACCTGGGCTCAACCAATCCTCCTGCCTCAGCCTCCCAAGTAGCTGAGACTACAGGCATGCGCCTACCATGCCCAGCTAATTTTTTCTATTTTTGGTAGAGACAGGGTCTTGCTTTTGCTCAGGCTGGTCTTGAACTCCTGAGCTCAAACAATCTGCCTGCCTTGGCCTCCCAGAGTGCTAGGATTACAGCCATGAGCCACCACGCCCAGCCTGAAAAATCTTTGAAAGAAGAGTTTCAGTGAGTTTTGAACTCATTTGTTAATAATTTTTAAATGTAACACCTTCCAACTAGTTTACTGGAACAACTAGCATCAGGAATAAATAAATATATCAGATCCATTTCCCCAAAAACTTTTATGTAATTGGTCTATCAGTTTGAAAATTGAACATCACGATTCACTTCTTCCATTTGGATGTACCAATCCTTGGTTTATTGTTCTTTTTTATTTTTATCTTTCTTTACTACTTTAACATATGGATGTACCTATCTTTGGGAAGTATCTTTTCCAGCAATAATAGCCAATCAAGCGAAGTATTGAAAACAGCTCAATTTAAGGTTTTATACCTTAATTATGCCTTAATTAAGGTATAATTTAAGGTTTTATACCTTAAATCAAAGGGGAAACAATGATTGTTTAATAGATGATGTTAAGAAAACTAGATCCCTATATGGAGAAAAGTCAAATTGGATGCCTACCTAGCATCACATTCAAAGATGGAATCCCTATAGGTTAAAGATATAAATGTAAAATTGTTATAAATTGAAGAAAATGTGATTTGAGGTAAAAAGAGCTACTCAGACAAAACTTCAAAGGTACAAAACTACAAAGGATATAGTAGAATTGGACACAATCAACTAACTACACCTAACTGATATCTATAGAACCTTCTACTCAACAATAGCAGAATATATATCCCTTTCAAGTATAGAAAGAATATTTACTAAGGTAGACCATATGCTGGGCCATGAAACAAGTCTCAATGAATTTAAAAGGATTCAAATCATGCAAAGTATATTTTCTAACCACAATGAAATTAAATTAGAAATCAAAGGCAAAGATATCTGGAAAAATCCCCAAATATTCAGAAAATAAAAAGCATACTGCCACATAATCCATGGTCCCAGCCATTCAACTCCTAGATATTTATCCAAGAGACGTGCTCCTTTTAGGAATACTAATAAAGACAGTAAATTCCCTAAGGTTAAAAAAACTGAATCTCAACAGTATAAGCTTCAGACTGCCAATCGTATGAAAGAAAAAATATTCAGAAGTAAGGAGTCTTTCCTGGTATCCCTAAAGTAACTCAAAGTCCACGTTTGGATTCACTTAACAAATATTTACTGAGTGCTCACTATGTGCCAGCAGCTCCCATTCTTAAGGCCAGTCATTCATCCTCTCCATTCCCTGGCCCTACCTGCTGTGGATTCCATCTTGATTGCTATTGCAGAAGAATCATTTGTGGGTCCCCAAGGGCCTACACTGGATCCTGTTTTCCCTACTTCTTCACCAAACTCTGCTATGCTGTCAGTGCTCTTTTGCTTTGCTTCTTGTGCCTGAAGCATGGTTCGTGCCTGAAGCTGTTTGGATGCCTCATGAAATGCCATTTCCATTCGAATGTCATTGTTTTGAATTTCATAGTACAAACCTGAGAAAAGAAAGATGTTGAAATATGACTAATTTCCCACCATCATATACTGAAGAATTGTAACATTTCACTTATTTTTCCTATGTTTTTTACCAAGTTTAAGAATTACCTGATGCGTCATTGAAGAGTAGAAAGGGAAAGAGAGACTCTTATAATGGGGGAAAAAACCAAAAACACTTTCAGATCACAGGAAAATACCATACCAAGTAAAGTCCAGGCTACAACATTGGTTGGTTCTAAGCAAGTAGCATCTTCAAAGAAAATTTCTGCTTGCTCATAGTCTTCCAACAGAATAGCCAGGACACCACACAGCAGCAAGCTGAAAAGAGACCACCAACATGGTTAACAACATGGTTGCATGAAACATTCATGGAACCAAGACAATTTCATGTAGAAGCTTATCTGTTCCTATTCATTCCTCATTTCCCTTCTACTTATACCTGTTGATATGACTCTGGTTGAGGGAAAGGGCTTTCCGAAAACATTCTTGTGCTTTGACGTTGTCTTCAATTAGAAGGCAGAAGGCACCATAGTCCAGCCAGTGATCAATGTTCTGTGGCTCACGGACCAACCTCTAGGCACATAAAGCATCAGGAAGGCCAAGGTTATTGTGACACTGTGTCCTATTTTTTATGCATATAACATCACACAGTAAATATTTCACAAATACTGCAAGTTCTATGAAAGCTAACGCCATAGCTTCTCTTTCTCTTACCACTGAATCTCAAATGGTTAGCACAATCACTGTTCTGGCTTTCAGTAGGTGGTCAAAAAACACTTGATGAAACAATTTAAAAATTGAATCATCAAGTCATTTCTTCCTAGTATCAGTATTCTGGTCACCCTAAACTCATCTAATAATTAGGGAGCCTAAAGATTCTTTTTGTGGCATATCAACGATTTATAATAATTTCTGCCATAATCTTGAAAAAGCAAATATGTTAATCTAAAAATTTGAAAAAAAGCACCTTATGATGAGTGAAAACTACAAAAATTGCTTAAAGAAATTAAAGAAGACATAAATAAATGGAAAGACATCTCATGTTCATGGATTGGAAGACAATATTGTTATGATGTCAATACAACCCAAAGCAATCTAGATATAATGCAATAATTGCTATAAAATCCCAGTGAAAACCCTCAAAATCCTCAAAAAGTTAAATACAGAATTACCATATGTCTCAGTAATTTCATTCTTAGGTATATACCCAAAATAATTAAAAACAGGTACTGAAACAAATTTTATACACAAACATTTTAGAGTTTTGAGAGTTCTTTATATTCTGGATACAAACCCTTTGTCAGATATATGTTTGGCAATATTTTCTCCTAATCTGTACTTTTCTTTCTCTTATGTCTTCCATAGAGTAAAGGTTTTTAATTTTTATGAAGTTCCATCTATCACATTTTTCTTTGGTCAATCATGCTTTGGTGTCATATTTAAAAACTCTTTAACTCCAGGTCATGAAGATTTTCTCCTATGTTTCTTCTAAAGGTTTTATAGTATTTTATTTTACATTTAAATACATGAATCATTTGGAATTGATATTTATAAAATATTTAAGGTTTATATCGAGGTTCATTTCTTTTTGCAAATGGATAACCAATTGTTCTAACATTATTGAAAAGACTATCCTTTTCTCCATTGAATTTTTGTATACTTTTGTCAAAAATCAAATGACCTTATTAATGTGGTCCTATTTTTAGACTCTCTGTTTTATTCATCTGTGTGTCTACCCTTTCACCAATAAAGTTTGATTTTAAACTATCAAAAATTACTACTTATACCCATATTTCAAAAATAATAGTAATTGCAATCACTGGGAAGATGTTTAATTACCTCCTCATAATACACTGTTGCCATATCAAAGTTCTCATTGACTTCTGCTTCAAATGCAAAGAGTCGAAGCTGTTCACTGCTTGTATAAATGGTTGAAATAGTGTCTCGGATATCATCTGGCATGGTCTTGTCCACATCAAGATGTTAAGCAGACAAAAGAAAGCAATTACAAGTAGAGGTGTTATAAGCATAAACTGGATGTGAGACACAGTCATGCCATCTAAAATGACATTAATGTTTCTTTACAGTCTTGCCAATACAGTAAGAGAAAGAGTGAACCAAGAGAGAAATATCAAAGGTGAGAGAGAAGCTCAGGTATCTAAATACCACCAGTCTGAGCTCATGGAAGTGAGTTAAAATTGTTTACAGCAGAAATAACTCTCCTCAACCCTCAGGGTAGTCATAGTCCCCATGCAGATCACCTCTGACCTCAAACAGCTTCCTTCATTTTCTCTAATGTATAGGACAAATATTTCCATTTTTTAGGTGCCATGACATGAAAAGGCTGGCAAGCACTAGCCAAGGTCTTTAAACATGGAGAAAGTAAGAGACTAAAGGTAAAGCTTTAGAAGCCAAATCTATAGTTTTGAGGGATATATAGACTGATCAATCCTACAAAGGAGACAGAAGGAAAGGTAGGAGGTAAACCAGAAAAAGAATATATCCTAACAGCAAACATTCATTTACCACCTGCTAATAAAAAAAAAGAAAAAAGTAAGAAAATTAACTTTTAAAAAATTATAAAATAAAAAAAATTTAAAAAGAGAGTTTTTGATCACTTGATTAGTACTTTTGTTCTTTGTTCTTTTTAGTTTTGATGACCTTGATCTCCAAATCCCTTCAGCAACACACTTCATACCCAACCTACCTCTAATATCCCACTCCCAGAACCAACATTCCAAGCCTTCCACGTTTTTGTCACTTAGTCACTTAAAACTGCTCTGTGACTTTATTGCCTTCATTTCCAATAAGCCCATCATTTTCCTGGACCTAATGATTACTCACTGATAATATTTTCTCATCAGCACAGTTAAATCTCAGGCATCCTTGTCCTTCACCTGTACTTGTCCTGTAAACTCTCCTACCTATGACTTCTTCATTCTTTAATAGGAATGCTCACTAGTCCCTAAGGAGAACTGTACAGGGACAGAGATAGCTAAGCCATGAGACTGTTATGGGATTCAGTCTTAGCTGAAGACCTTTAATACTCATAGTAATCTATGTATTTGTCCTTATTTAGCAGCATATTCCATAATGCTATGCAGTATCTAAATTTTCTTATTTTCTTCAAGCTTTTCATTCAACCCTTATCCCCTTCGCTTTCAGTAAAAACCCTACTTCACAGAAATAATAGAAATAATTAGGCAAGAAATCCTTTAATTTTTAAATCCCCTAGCAAAATTATTGATTTCTGCATCTATTGTATCTCATTCCTTTCAGTCTCAGAAGAAGAGGCATTGCAACCTTCTCTGTTTCAAGGCTAATGCTTCCATTTAAATTCTTGGTTCTTTCTCAGCTGTGTACCCTGAGCTTACCATCAATTAGCCTCCTCTCCTTCCTCAATTTTCAACCTCTCTCACTCTGCTAATTCCTTTCCCAAAACCTGCAGATGTGCTCGAAGTTCTTCCACCTTAAAAAGAAAATCTCAGCTGGGCGTGGTGGCTCACGCCTGCAATCCTAGCTCTCTGGGAGGCCGAGGCAGGCAGATTGCTCAAGGTCAGGAGTTCAAAACCAGCCTGAGCAAGAGTGAGACTCCGTCTCTACTATAAATAGAAAGAAATTAATTGGCCAACTAATATATATATAGAAAAAATTAGCTGGGCATGGTGGTGCATGCCTGTAGTCTCAGCTACTTGGGAGGCTGAGGCAGCAGGATTGCTTGACCCCAGGAGTTTGAGGTTGCTGTGAGCTAGGCTGATGCCACGGCACTCACTCTAGCCTGGGCAACAAAGCGAGACTCTGTCTCAAAATAAATAAATAGATAAATAAAAATAAAAATAAAATCTCTATAATTTCTAGGTACTACTTGACCATTTTTTTCTTTCTTTGTCCAACTTCTTGAATTCATATTCATCTGTTTCATAATTGCTCATTTACTCCTCAATTAATTATAACTTGAATCCCACCATTAGCCCAATGATATTGCTATGTAAAAGTTAACAATAATCTATTACCAAATCCAATGAACACTTTTCAGATTTTATTCTTGAATTCCTAGGAGTGTTTGACAAGGTTGACCACCTTTTCTTTTTAAAATTATTTTTCTTTGGTTTCTGTGACACCACTGTCTTCTGGGTTGTTTGCCTCTTTAACAATTCTATTTGTCTCCTTCAACTCTTTCACTCATTCATCCCTTAAATGTTGGTGTTTCCTAGTGCTCCACTGCCAGCTTTCTTCTCTTTACTTATGTTTTTCTTAAGCAGTCTCATCTATGACCATAGCACCCATATATCATGGCTCTACAAATCCCATCCCCAGTTCAGACATCTCTCTCTTGAGCAAAACCTCACTGGAGCCAAAACTGAATTCAACATCACCTGCCTCCACCAATTGTACTCATGTTGTATTCCCTGTCCTGGTTAATGTTAATATCAATTACCCAGTGACTGAACCTTAAACTTCAGAATCTTTGACTCTTCGTCCTCCTTATTATGCAATAATCAGCTAACATCACCAGTTTTACCAACTCTATCCCATCCTCCATACTGCTATCAGAGTGTTTTAGCAAATTTAAACCTGATCATATTACATCCCGGTATAAAATAATTTAATTTATTGCTCCCACTGCTAATGAGGTTTATCCTCAAAACTTAAAACTTCTTTTGCTCATGCTCAACTCTCAACTGTTTTCTAAATCAAGTCATCCAAATCATCCATGCCCAAGGCAGGACTGTTCTCTTAAACTCATGATACTAGATACTCCTTTCCTATCTCTTCCACGAAGGCTAAACAAAGTGAAAGAAATGGTGATGGTGGTAGAGAAGAAAAATCACAGTGAAAGAAAGAACAAATAGAATAGACGTTTTGAGAAGCATAGCTGGTTAGAGACTACCAGGGGGAGAAAAAAATGGATTTTGTCATTGTTTTCAAATAAACCACAACTGAAAATGTACAAGAATAAGCAGATGAAGGCAAGATGCAAGTTGTACAAATAAAGATATAAACAGACAAGTGAGTGGAGAGCAGATCGCCAGTCAAATACAAAAGGTGTGTTTCAAGTGTCACTATCATTTGGGTGGTAATATCTGAAAACTCATAGTTTTTGCTTTTACTATCTTGAAGAAAGAATTGAGAATTGTACATGTTTCCAGAATATATGAAATGGTAATTTTCATTTCACAATTTACATAGCCTATTTTATCTATTTTTGACAATTCTATTTTTTTTTTTTTGAGACAGTCTCGCTCTGTTGCTGTGGTTAGACTGCAGTTGTATCATTGTAGCTCACTGCAACCTCAAACTCCTGGGCTCAAGTGATCCTCCTGCATCAGCCTCCCGAGTAGCTGGGACTACCGGCATGCATCATGATGCCTGGCTAATTTTTCTATTTTTAGTAGAGAAGGGGTCTCGCTCTTGCTCAGGCTGGTCTTGAACTCCTGAGCTCAAGCGATCCTCCCACTTCTGCCTCTTCCCAGAGTGCTAGGATTATAGGTGTGAGCCACCATGCCTGGCCCCTTTATCACATTTTTGAAAGTTATAAAATTTATTTTTCTAAGGAATTGAAAGAGCATATCTCCTTGTTCTTCCTTGTTCTGTCTTATAACTTAGGCAGTCTCTACTAATCATCTTTGTGCTTTCAGTGTTTAACACACAGCAGACACTTCAATAAATATTTTTGAATAAAGGAAGAAAGGAAGCAAGGAAGGAAGGAACCATTCATAGGAGTCCCTGGTGTTCTATGGAGAAAAGGAAGGGCTCTCAGCTCTTGACACCCACCTGGTTTAGGGCCACATGCATCTGATCTACTAAGAACACATACAGCTCACTGATAAATGTCTGCAGTTCCTCCTGGCTTTCAAATGATGTTGTTTTCAGGTATTTCTCTCTCACAATCTTTACCACAGCATGCTGCAAGAAACACAGATCATCCATCTGATAGCAGTCTGATACCTGCTGATAGCACAGGTCTCTGTAGGGCTTCTGGTCTAAGGCTGATAAAAACTTCAGAAAGTGATTAATTTCTCCCTTGGTGGCTGCTAGGCTATTGGCTCTCTGATTTTCCTCTAATCAACATACTCTGTATGACTTCTTCTTTCTTTTACATCATCATTATCACTAATAGGTGCAATGCAGGAATCATACCATGTGAAGAGAGCCATATTGCTGAAGAAAACCTTAGCATTAGGTTTCAGCATTGTGTCATGATGGCCATATGGCTCAAGGGAGAAAGGGGGAAAGGTTGGTCTGAGAGTCCAGAGAATGGAATTCTAGTTCTACTGCTGCTACTATACAACCTCATAAATTATTTTATACTTTGGTACCTCAGTTTCCTCATTTGTTAAAGTGGATATGTAGTTATGGTATTATTATCTTATTTCTGAAGATGATCGAGAAAGCAAGGGAAATAACAGGTGTAGAAGCTTAAGAGGTTGTGCAAATATAAACATAGCATGTTGCTATGGCCAGGACAGCTGCTGCTGCTTTTTTTTTCTCCCTGAAGTAACATTATTGCTAGGATTTTTACTAAGTACTTTCCATATATTATATGATTTAATTCTCATAATGACCCCATGTAATACTATTATCCCTCACTGTTAGATAAAGAAATTGAGGCACAGAAAGATAAAATTACATGCCCAAGGTCACTCAGCTAGTAAAGATAGAACCAGGAATCAAATCAAGACATGGTTATGCCACCTGCTTAGAATACACTCTTGCCTCCATTAGTCTCAGTTGTTTTCACTTTATTACATCCACGTTCTTTCTTTGTTTTTTGTTTGTTTGTTTGTTTTTGAGATGGTGTTTCACTCTGTTGCCCCAGCTAGAGTGCTGTGGCGTCAGCCTAGCTCACAGCAACTTCAAACTCTTGGGCTCAAGCGATCCCCCTGCCTCAGCCTCCGGAGTAGCTGGGACCACAGGCATGCATCACCATGCCCAGCTAATTTTTTTTGGTAGAGACGGGGTCTCCCTCTTGCTCAGACTGGTCTCAAACTCTTGAGCTCAAACGATCCACCCGCCTCGGCCTCCCATAGTGCTAGGATTACAGGCGTGAGCCACCGCACCGGGCTTCACGTTCTTTCTTTGTATCCCTTTAGCACAGTATAGGACACATAGTAAATATGCATACGGAGGTACTGTAGTGTAGCAATTAAGAATATGAGTTCTGGAACCAGACTGCTGAGTTTCCATCCCGACTTTGACCTTTATTATCTCTGTGACCTTGGGCAAATAACTTAACCAACTAATGTTTCATTTCTCCATCTGTAAAATGGGGAGTACCTACCTCATAGGGTTGCTATAAGGATTAAATTAGTAAAATATGAAGCACTGACATATTTGCCTAGATACAGCAAACACTCAATAAATGCCATTATTATTAAAAAATTACTATTATGTTAACTATTTCTCAAATCTTAGTGACTCTATGGATGAGAGAAAGATATGAATGGGAGACAAAGAAAATTAGTAATGGAGTCAGTACCAGACAGAATTTCTGCCTCCTAAAACAACACTGAAATCTGGACCAAAATCTGGCCTAGTCTCAAGTGAAGAATTAGTTTCTTTAAAGCTCACACTCAGATGGATAGTAAACCCTTTCAAGACTGCAAGAATGGAGCTTCTCCTGACATTCTGTCATAAAGAATATAGCTCTTTGCACCAACAGCAAGAAAGGTAGGAGTGCAGCTGATTGTAATCAGAGACAAAAAAAAAAACGTTAACTGGGCATGTAGAGAAGGTGCTCCATAACAACCTATGGAATAATTAAATAAAAGAATGTTTTACCTTGAGTTGTTCTTTGAAAGCAAAGTATTTTCCAGAGCAATTAAGTTCATAGCTGAGCTGGCACTTCTGTTCCTCCAGGGTTTCACTATCTATATCACTCCCCAGGTTGGCCACTTGTTTTCCGAACATTCTGTGGTACTCATCCAGAATGGCTTTAGAAATGTTCTTGATCTGTGAGTGGTAGTCACTCACTGCCTAGGAAAATATAAAATATTTGGTAAAGAGACCTCAAAGAGGTCAAGACCCATGGATTGGAAGTCTAAAACCAGATTGGGTTTTATGTTCAATAATTCTTTAGACTAAAGTGCCCTTTTCTTCCCAGCTCAGAGACTATCAGCCAATGATTAAACATTGTCTGCTATTCACTATATGCCACTGATCACAATGGAACCAGCATGAAAATATGTAAAGCTTCAAACAAGTTTGCACCCAACTGGAAGACACATTAAAGAGTTCATGCAATTTTCAAATGCATGCCTCAACATCATTACTTACAGTTTCACCTTAGCTTTGACACTTGCCTTCTGAGCTCCTCCTGTCCGACGGGTAAGAGGCGGCCTCGGAGGAATCATTTCCTTGACCCTATATCAGGAAAAAAACCACCAAAAAACACTTTATTGTCTGCAGATTTATGTTTTCTTACATTCAACCTTCAAAGAGTCTGGATGGGAGAGATCTTAGATCTGTTCCTCCATTGCACTTGAGCACTGTGCTATTCTCTCATGTAAAACCCTAGATGTGAACACCAGACAGCACATGGCTATGGACTAGGTAGGGGGAAAGCCAGAAAGCAGCTGCTCAGAGTAATTTGCAGTCCCACCAACAGTGTTTAAGTGTTCATTTCTCTCTACATCATCACCAGCATCAATTGTTTTTTGGTTTTTTAATAATGGCCATTCTGACAGGGTGAGGTGGTATCTCATTATGGTTTTAATGTACATTTTCTTGATGATTAGTGAGGTTGAACATCTCTTCATATGTTTCTTGGCCATTTGTCTATCTTCAGGTCATGTTTTTTTCCCACTTATTAATGGAGTTATTTATTGTTTTCTTGCTGATCTGTTTAAGTTATTTGTAGAGTCTGGCTATTAGCCCTTTATCAGATATATAATTTGAAAATAATTCCCCTCATGCTATAGGTTGTCTGCTTACTCTGTTGATTATTTCCTTTGCTATGCAGAAGCTTTTTAATTTAGTTAAGTCCATTTATTTTTGTCATTCCTGTATTTGCCTTTGGAGTCTGTCATAAATTATTTGCCTACACTGATGTCTAGAAGAGTTTTTCCTACTTTTTCTTTTAGAATTTTTATGGTTTATGCCTTACATTTAAGTCTTTTATCCATTTTGAATTAATTTTTGTATATGGTGAGATATAGGGGTCATGTTTCATTCTTATGCATGTGGCTATCCACCGTATTTCCCCAAAAATAAGACCTAATGATGGGCATGGCTATGCAGTGTATCTGCACAACCCATGCATTTCATCACGGAGCAGTAAAGATGAGCAGCCTTTCTCATCTGTCCCATTGTGACAGCTACTATCCCAGAGGTGGCCAGAAAGGTACGGGCAGCCCCACCAACAAGGTCAGCTCCCCCTGTCAGGTCCCAACCATCCTGTGTACGCTGCAAGCTGAGGCTTTGAGAGGAAAATAACACCACCCCTGAAAATAAGCCCTAGGGTGTCTTCTTGAGGAAAAAATAAATATAAGACCCTGTCTTCTTTTCAAGGAAACACGGTAGTTCTTCCAGCACCATTTATTAAATAGGGCTTCCTTCCCACAGTGTATATTGTTGTTTGCTTTGTCAAAGATCAGTTGGTTATAGGTATATGGTTTTATTTCTGGGTTCTCTATTCTGTTCCATTGATCTGTGTCTCTACTTTTACATCAGTAATATACTATTTCAGATACTATAGCCTTATAGTGTAATTTGAAGTCAGGTACTTTGGAGTACTTCCTATAGGGCAGGCCTAGTATTGACAAATTCCCTTAGAGTTTGCTTGTCTGGAAAAGTCTTTATTTCTCCATCATTTATGGAACTTAGTTGTACAGGACACAAAATTCTTGGCTAACAAGTGTTCTGTTTAAGAAGGCTAAAAATGGGGCCCCAATCCCTTCTGGCTTACAAGAGCTTAGCTGAGAAGTTTGCTGTTAGCCTGATGGGTTTTCCTTTGTAGGTTAGTTGTTGCTTTCATCTTGCAGTTTGTAGAATTTTCTCCTTCATTTTGACTTTGGCCAGGTTAATGACTATGTGTCTTGGAGATGTCCTATTTGCTATGAATCTTCCCGATGTTCCATGACCATCTTATATCTGGATATCTGAATCTCTGGTGATACCAGGGAAGTCTTCCTCAGTAATTCCTTTCAATGGGTTTTCCAAGCTTTTTGCTTTTTCTTCTTTTCCCTCAGAGATACCTATAATTCACATATTTGCTCATTTCATATAGTCTTACATTTCTCTGAGTCATTGTTCATTCTTCTTTATTGTTCTCTCTGCATCTTTGACTCATTAGGTTAGTTTGAAAGCCTTGTCGTCAAGCTATGAGATTCTTCTGCTTGGGCTAGCCTGTTGTTGAAGCTTTCTGCTGTATTTTGAAGTTTGTTACATGACTTTTTCATTTCCTTGAGTTCTGTTATATTCTTTCTTATGTTGTCTAGCTCTTTAGCAACTTTTTAATTTTCTCTGAAGTCCTGAAATATATTTTGGCTTTTTTGTGTTGGTTTTCAACTTTATCCTCAATGCCATTCATCTTATCAGCCATCCATATTCTGAATTCCATTTCTGACATTTGAACAATTTCCTTTTGGTTGGGGTCCATTGCTGTAGATCTACTGTGATCCGTTTGGCATGTTGAACTAGTATGTTTTCTCATGTTGTCAGAGTTCTTTTTCTGGTTTCTTCTCAACTGAAACCTCTTCTCTCAGCTCAGGGCAGACAGGTTTGCAGTGCACCTGTTCTCCTTTTCTGGGAACTCTCCTACTTAGTGAGAAGAAAAGGTCCCTAGATGGTGTTTTTGTGACCTACTCCAGATGACTGACTCACCAAGAGAGGGGCAAATGCACTGCAAGCCTGTAATTAGCTGTTCTGTGTTGTTCTGCTCTATGATTGTCACAGTCCAAGCCATTGCTGGATAATCTCTGTGTGGACTGTTGGGTTATTACCCAGGCCACTGTTGGAAGCTCGGACAAATGGCTAGGAGAGTCCCTCTCCACAGAGGAAGGAGGATCACTTGAATCCAGGAGTTCAAGACCAGCCTGGATAACCTAGCAGGACCCCGTCTCTATCAAAAATATAAAAAAATGTTTGGGTGTGGTAGTACATGCCTGTAGTCCCAGCTACTCGGAAGGCACAGGCAGGAGGGTTGCCTAAACCTGGGAGTTTGAGGTTGCAGTAAGCCATGATGACACCACTGCATTCTACCCTGGGCAACAGAGTGAGACCCTGTCTCAGAAAAAAAAAAAAAAAGCAAAGCTGATTCTCATCAGAAATCAAAGGTCAGAAGGTACTGGAATAACATATTTAAAGACTAAAAGGAAAAAAAAAAACTATCAACCAAGAATTCTATATACAGCAAACTAGTCTTTAAGAATGAGCAAAACTATTAAGACAATCTCATAGAAACAAAAGTAAGAGAGTTTGTTACTAAGACCTATCCTACCAAAAATGCTAAAGGGAGTCCTTCAGGCAGGACACTAGTCAGTAACTCAAAGCCAGATGAAGAAATAAAGAATGCCGTAAACATGAATGCTAATATTATTGTACTTTCAGTTTGTAATTACTCTTTTTATAGAAAATGAATGCATAAAATAATAATTATAAATCCATATTAATGGGCATACAATGTAGAAAGATGTAATCTGTGACAATAACAATATAAATGCAGAGAGATGGAGATGTATAGGAGTGGAGTGTATAGTATTGAAACTAAGTTAGTACTATTCAAACTAAGTTGTTACAAGTTTAAAATGTTAATTGTAGTCTCCAGGGTAATCACTAAGAAAATAACTAAAAAATATACAGAAAAGGAATGAAGAAGGGAATCCAAATGATACACTGCAAAAAAAATCAACTAAATACAAAAATGCAGTAATAAAGAACAAAAAACATATAGGCTGGGTATGGCAGCTCACACCTGTAATCCCAGTACTTTCAGAGGCCAAGGTGGGAAGAATGCTTGAGCCCAAGGGTTCAATATCAGCCTGGGCAACAAAATGAGATCCCATCTATACAAAAAATTTTTAAATTAGCTGAGCATGTTGGTCTATGCCTGTAGTCCTAACTACTTAGGAGGCTGAGGCAGGAGGATCACTTGATCCCAGAAGTTTGAGGTTATAATGTGCTATGATCACAACACTGCTCCAGCCTGGGCAATAGAGTCAGACCCTGTCTCTAAAAAATAAAAATTCAATTAAAAGAAACATAAGACATGCAGATAACAAATCAATAAATGGCAGAAAAAAATCCTTATCAATAATCACATTAAATGGATTAAGTTTTCCTATTAAAAGGCAGAGATTGACAGATTCGATTTTTAAAAACCACACAGAATCCATCTATCTTCTGTCTACAGACATTCCCTTTAGATATAAGGACACAAAGAGGTCAAAAGTTGAAGGATAAAATCAGATATTCCATGCCAATAGTAATCAGACAGCTGGAGTGGCTATATTATTATCAGATAAAATAAACTTTAACTCAAAAGAAGTTACAAGAGACAAAAAATGACACTAAATATTGAAAACAGCTTCAATAGAGTAACAAAATATAACATTAATAAACATATAAAACAGAGCTCCATAATTTATGAAGTAAAAATCGACAGAATTGAAGGGAGAAATTGACAGTTCTGCAATAAAAGAGACCCTACTTTCAATAATGGATAAAACAACCAGAAAAAACATTAATAAAGAAATAAAGAACTTGAACAATACTATAAACCAATTAGATACAATTAATATATATAGAATATTTCACCCAACAACAGAACATTCTTCTCAAGTGCACATAGAACATTCTGTAGGATAGACCACATGTCAGGCCCCCAAACAAATCTTAATAAACTTAAGAAGACTGAAATCATATGAAGTATCTTTTCTGATCACAATAGAATAAAATTAGAAATTAGCCACAGAAACAGGAACAGAAGGAAAACTAGTAAAGTCACAAATATGTAGAAATTAAACAATATTCAAACAACCAATGGGTCAAAGAATAAATTACAAAGGAAATTTTAGAAAAAACAAAACCTTGAAACAAATTAAAACAAAAAACAACATAACAAAATTTATGAGATACCAGGAAAGCAATACTGAGAGGGAAATTTATAGCTTTAAATACATACATTAAAGAAGAAAAAAGCTTTCATATAAATAACCTAACTGTACACCTTAAGGAGCTAGAAAAATAAAAGCAAATTATGCTCAAAGCTAGCAAACAAATAATATAAGATTAGAATAGAGACAAATAAAATAGAGATAAAAAATAGAGAAAATCAACAAAATCAAAAAGTTGGCTCTTAAAAAAGATCAATAACATTTACAAACCTTTGGCAAGACTGACTAAGAAAAAAAGAGAGAAGACTCAAATTACTAAAATCAGAAATGAATGTGGGGACATAACTACTGATTTAATAGGGATAAAATGATTATAAGAGAATACTATGAACAATTATATACCAACAAATTGGACAACTTAGATGAAATGCACAACTTCCTAGTAACACACAAGCAAGGAAAGCACTGTACAACATAAGTAGTTAAAAAAATGTTATATATGTATATGTGACATGAGAATGTGTGTATGTGTGCATGTGCAATATAGGGGCTTTAAAATAACTCCAGAAGGATAACACCAAGGTATTAAAAGTGGTTATCACTAGGTGAGTAGAAATCTGGATGTTTTTACATACTTTCTTGCTTATCACCATTTTCTAAAATTTTTTGTAATGAGCATACAACACTTTTGTAATAAGGAAATACGGTAATAACAACAACAACAATAACTTCATCTGGAAAAAAACCAGCAAACTGCTGCTTATCCCAGGGAAAATTACCATTGTGGGGACAGACTGACTTTGTCTTAGTTATACCCCAATTATGCAAAACAAGTATGAGAACCATTGCTACCTTCTGGCTAGCTCCTCTGGCATTCGTTTTGGAACCAAGGCTTTGTCCAGCTGAATCTCCAACACAATGTATGTCCCTGCTTCTACATATTGCTGTAAAAACATTTTTTCTCACTTATTATTTCCAGAAAAAAAGATATTATGAAAAAAATTTAGTAACATAAGATAATGCTTACAATATAATGTGAGAAAACTATAAATATAATTACATATATAGTATGATCTCAACTGTTAAAATATTTTTATATAGAAAAATAACTGGAAATAAATACTGCAACAGTAGTTATCTCTTGGAGGAAAGGGTTTTCAATTTTATTTTTGAAAACTTCTACCTCCGCTGAAGCCCTGTTTAACTTGTTCATAGTACTTTCCTTAGAACTGTTTTAAGTGAATTCATTCTTTCTTTCAGCAACCCTCTTTTATGGGTCCTGCAAAAATACTTTCTTTATAACCTTACATTATCACTCAGTCTCCTCACCACCATCTACCAACTTTAATTGCTGGAAACTTCTACTCATATTTTTGCCAGCATCCTAAATACAAGTGTTCAAATTGAACTTCTCATTTTCCCAATATCAACCTCTCTTCTGACTTTTCTCTTAATGGAGTTGTCATCCTTCCAGAAAGTGAGGCTTGAAACTTGAATTATGTTTAAATTTTCTTCATAAATACACCCAAATCTTCACAATTCCAAACCCCTGGCTTCTGCAGGTTTCTGGCTTTCTTTATCCTTGCACTAAATCAAACTGTCATCAACACTCATCTGTATTACAAGAACAACCTGTAGTCCTCTCCCACCTTCAATCTGTTTTTTTCACACTCTTGCAAGAATTCTGGCCTGAAATACATATAAGGTCCTATTTCTACAGTGACTTAAAAACCTTTGATGTGAGTCTCCAAGAAAAGACTCAAGAGTTTCCCCAACAGCTACAGAATAAAGCCCAAGCTTTTTAACAAGCCTTTCAAGTCTTTCTATAACCTGACTCTTTCTCACCTCTTTCTAGAATCTCTCCTTTTTTTTCATTCCTCTATATACCATACACTGAATTAATAGATGTACCCTAAATTCTGTCCTTGAAAATTCTCTTTGTGCCTTGACTAAAGCTCTTCCCTGGTCCTGAACTGTTTCTCTCTCCATTTTCATTTGGTGAAGAGTTCTCTTCATCTTTCACTAGTTAGTTCAGATAACACCTCTTCCATAAAGCCTTCCCTGAGACTACCCCATTCTAATAGATATTAATCTTTGTTTCATCTGAGTGCACACAGAACTATTATTTGTACCTCTATTACAGCACTCATCAAAATTACGTATTATGGTTTGTTATGTACCAGTCTGTTTCTACTACTAGATGGCTGAGTGTCCTGAGGACATATGAATAAATGTTGCAGTTGGTGCATCTTTGCATCCATCATAGTGCTTAACACGGTAGAGTTAATAAAAGACATACAATTTTAATGCTGGAAAGGACCTTAAAGTTAACCTGGTACCAATTCATTTTATAGGGTCTTCACAAGACAACTTTGCCCAAAGTCATAAACTAGTCATGAGCAAATACGGGATGGGAACTTATATCCTACCTGAGCATTTTCCACTCTAACTGTCTTGCTCAGTATAGATCTGATGAAATTAAACTTAATTTTCCAAAACCTTAAGCACAGTTACCTGTCCTTCTGGATTATGGCTTAGAGTGGGTTCACCTTCCAATGGCGTATCTGAGCTCTGAGATTTTATACTAGGTGCTTGCTGAAAGAAAATTAACATGCCTCAAAAGTTGAATTCTTACATGGTCTTCATAATGGCAGGAACAATGATACTTATACTGCATGAAAATGCAAACTATATTAATACAATTCACCAAATTAGAAATCAGTATAAGCCTCTGAAATGTAATAAAATAGGCAAAACCATCACCTTCTCAAAAACCTACCACATCACCAGGCCTAATCTTTCCATCTATATCCTTTTCTTTGACTGTTTTATCTTCTTTCAGATTCTTAGAAACAACTTGTTTGGAAAGTGGAGAATTAATTCCTCCTATTTTATTATTATGAATCAAATGATGGCCGGTATCCCGGAATAAGCTAAATAAACACTTGGTCTGAAAAGAAACAAAAGAATGCAATGAATCATAGGCAAATGAGACACACTTGAAAGAAATCCATATTATTTTTTTATCATTTAGTTGTCCAGATAATTTCAACATTTAGAATTGAAGATAGAAAAGGGGCCTAAAAAACTTCATTGTATTTCCCTACTTCTATAACAGGTAAAAGCAAAACAGAAAGTTAGCTGCCTGACCTATTATTTATTCTGAGATAAGTCTTTACAAGTTGGCTTGATTCTGGTGTGGCATAACTGTTGTCATCAGAATGCTTTTAATCTTTGACACATAATTTCAAATTAAGTGGTAAAATTCACTTCTATTCAAGAAACATTATCTAATTACTATTATAACTGGAATAATAAGGCAAGATTAAAGTTCAAAGTAAAATCTTTGTACAAAAAAATTCAAACAATAGATAAGTAACTGGAAAGAAATTTTACAACGATTTTTTAATCAAACAACATGGATGACTCTCAAAATAAATTATGCTGAATGAAAAGTCCCAGACCAAAGAAAAGTTAAGGGGGAGTTAGAAAAAGGGAGTGGACAGAGGTAGGAGAAAGGGATAACAAAGGTCATGAGAGAACTTTTGGGGTGGGTAATGTGTATGTTTGTTATCATTGATTACAGTGATAGTTTCACAGATATATACATATATATATGTCAAAACTTTAAAATTGTATACTTTAAATATATGCAGCTTGTTGTCAATTATGCCTCAATAAAGCTGTTCAAAAGACAATCCAACAATATCAAAAAGTCCCAAAACACTAAATGGTAGCGGGGATGCAGAGAGACAGGAACACTCATACACTGCTGGTGGGACTGCAAACTAGTGCAACATCTGTGGAAAGCAATATGGAGATACCTCAAAGAGATACAAGTAGATCTACCATTTGATCCAGCAATCCCATTACAGGGCATCTACCCCAAAGAACAAAAGGTACTCTATAAAAAAGACACCTGCACTAGAATGTTTATAGCAGCACAATTCACAATTGCAAAGATGTAGAAACAACCCAAGTGCCCATCAATACGTGAGTGGATTAACAAAATGTGGTATATGTATACCATGGAGTACTATTCAGGTATAAGAAACAATGGTGATATAGCACCTCTTGTATTTTCCTGGATAGAGCTGGAACCCATTCTACTAAGTGAAGTATCCCAAGAAAGGAAAAATAAGCACCACATGTACTCACCATCAAATTGGTTTCACTGATCAACACCTAAGCGGACACATAGGAATAACATTTATTGGGTGTCGGGCAGATGGGAGGGGGGAAGAGGGTATGGGTATACACATACATAATGAGTGCGATGTGCATCATCTGGGGGATGGACATGCATGAAGCTCTGATTCGAGAGGGAAGGGGGCAAGGACAATATACATAACTTTAACATTTGTACCCCCATAATATGCTGAAATTAAAAAAAGAAAATTATAAAGACAAAAAATCACTCACAATCCTACCACCTCTACCATAGTTAATGTGTTTCACAGATTCAAAGATACAAACTTTTACAAATTTTAACATCTCTGGGAAATGTTGTATAATAAGACTATTTCATATAAGTGATATTATAAAATAGTCTTTTGTGTCTGCCTTCTTTCACTTAGCATAATGTTTTTGAGGTCCATTCATGTTGATATGTATCAGTGGTTTATTCGTTTTTTAATAAAAACCTTTATTGAGATATAATTCATATCCCATACAATTCACCCCTTAATGTACACCATTCAATCCTTAATTGTACACAATTGGGGAGATGACATCATTAACAGTTCATTCCTTTTCATTGCTAAATAATATTCACTTGTATAAATATAGTACATTTTGTTTATCCATTATAAACATTTGCATTGTTGTGAGTTTTTGGCTATTATATATAGTGCTGCTATAAACATTCACATACGTGTCTTTGTGTGAATGCAGGTTTTCATTTCTCTTGGGTAGATTCCTAGGAATGATCTGCTGGGTTGTATGGTAACTTTATATTTACCACAGATTTTCTATATAGTTGTCTTATCAAGTATTGAGAGTAGCATATTGAAATTTCTAAATATTATGGTCAAATTATCCATTTTTCCTTCCAATTCTTCTGGTTCTTCCTTCAAGTATTATGAGGTTATTGTACTGTTAGGTGTGTATACATTTATAATTGCTCTATCATCCTGATAGATTGATACTTTAATCATGACATGCCACTCTGTCTTCCATAATATGTCTTTCTTGTCTTAAAGTCTATTTTATCTGATATTAATGCAGTCACTCAGCTCTGTTATGTTTTCTGTTTGCATGGTATATCTTTTCTTTCTACTTTAGCCTATTTGTGCCTCTTTTGCTCTTTTTTAGCTTATAAACAACAGAAATTTATTTCTCACAGTACTAGAGACTGCGAAATACTATTTGTGTCTTTGAATCTAAGTTGTGTCTTTGTCAGTGTATAATTGAATTTTTAATTTAATTTATTTATTTAGAGACAGAGTCTCACTCTGTTGTCCAGGCTGGAGTGCAGTGATGCAATCATAATTCAATGCAGTCTCAAACTCCTGGGCTCAAGTGTTCTTCCAGCCTCAGCCTCCTGAGTAGGTAGGAATACAGGTGCATACAACAACATATAGCTTTTTTTTTTTTTGAGACAGAGTTTCACTTTGTTGCCCAGGCTAGAGTGACTGCCATGGCGTCAGCCTAGCTCACAGCAACCTCAAACTCCTGGGCTCAAGCAATCCTACTGCCTCAGCCTCCCGAGTAGCTGTGACTACAGGCATGCGCCATCATGCCTGGCTAATTTTTTCTATATATATTAGTTGGCCAATTAATTTCTTTCTATTTTTAGTAGAGACGGGGTCTTGCTCTTGTTCAGGCTGGTTTTGAACTCCTGACCTCGAGCAATCTGCCCACCTTGGCCTCCCAGAGTGCTAGGATTACAGACGTGAGCCACCGCACCAGGCCTAGCGGTTTTTGTTTTTTTAATAGAGACTGTGTTGCCCAGACTGGTCTTGAATGCCTGGCCTCAAGTGTTCCTCCCAGCTCAGACTCCCAAAGCACTGGAACTGTAGGCTTGAGCCACCTTGCCCAGTCTATAGTTGAATCTTGATTTTTTTATCTAGTCTCATAATCTCTGAACTTTCACTGCTCTGTTTAGACTGCTCACATACAATGCTGAAATACTTAGATTTATGTTTTCCATGCTATTTGTTTTCTATATGCCTTCTGTTCCTCTTTTAACCACCTTCTTTTATGTTAAATATTTGTGATGTCGCATTTAAATCCTTTGCTGATTGATACACCCCACACACACACATAATATATGTGTGTGTGTGTGTGTGTATGCATGTACACAATTTTCTTAGTGGTTGCTTTAGGGATTGCAATATGCATCCTAACTAATCATAATCTATTTCACATTAATACTAACTTAATTCTGGTAAAATATAGAAACTTTGCTCTACTACATCTCTATTTTATACCCTTTCTTTATGGTGTTATCATATAAATTAAATCTATATATGTTATGAACCCAACAATATCATTAATGCTTTATTAAATCATGTCTTTCAAAGAAGAGTAATATGAGAAAAATATATTTCTACACTCTTTTATATGAACTTATAGTCAACTGTTTCTAGTGTTCTTCACTTCTTCTTGTGGATTCAAGTTAGCAATCGGTATCATTTCCTTTCGAGCCAAAGGACTCCCTTTAGTATTTCCTATAAGGCAGGTTTGCTAGCAACAAATTCTTTTAGCATTTGTTCATCTGGGGATGTCTTTATTTTGCTTTTGTTTTTGGTTGGTAGTTTGTTTATCTGTTTGTTTTCATTCAGACCTTTAAATATGTTATTCTACTGCCTCTGGCTTCCACTGTTTCAACTGAAAAATCAGCTGTTAGCCATATTGACTCTCTGTAATTGATGGATTGTTTTTCTCTTGTTGCATTCATAATTTTCTCTTTGTATTTCTCTTTCAACTACATGACTATAAAATGTGTATATTGTGGATCTCTGTGTGCTCATCCTAGCTGGGATTTTCTTTTCTTTTTTTTTTTTTTTGAGACAGAGTCTCGCTTTGTTGCCCAGGCTAGAATGAGTGCCATGGCATCAGCCTAGCTCATAGCAACCTCAAACTCCTGGGCTCAAGCAATCCTACTGCCTCAGCCTCCCGAGTAGCTGTGACTACAGGCATGTGCCACCATGCCTGGCTAATTTTTTCTATACGTATTAGTTGGCCAATTAATTTCTTTCTATTTATAGCAGAGATGGGGCCTCGCTCTTGCTCAGGCTGGCTTTGAACTCCTGACCTCAAGCAATCCGCCCGTCTCGGCCTCCCAGAGTGCTAGGATTACAGGCGTGAGCCACCGCGCCAGGCCATCTACCTGGGATTTTCTGAACTCTTTAGATCTGTGGATTAATGTTTTCATAAAACGTGGGACGTTTCAGACATTTCTTCTTACATCTTTCTATCTTCTCTCCTAGGACTCTCATTACAAGTATGTTGGTTGCCTTCCACAAAGACTGCTGTTTCAACAGACAAAATTGCTGAGCATGAGTCCTTCAACCATTGCTCCAAATTGTGAGAGCCTTCTCTGACTACGGTAGCAAAATTCCTAGTCCTCATTGCCCATCTTGCTCTAGAAGAATCACTGTACTAATTGAGCTAAAGGTGAGGGTGGGGAATGCGAAGAAGCCCCTGACTGCTCACAATCCTTAGCTTTTAAAACTTTTTAGTAAATGCCTTTGGTAGATTTCAGGAGTGCCCAAACACCTTTTTGTCAATTTGTCCAGCTTTGTAGTTGCCTTTTGAGGGAGATGATTTGCAAACCTCCTCACTTGGTCATGGTCAGAAATATTCCCTCCCTAATATTTCTATATGTTTAAAAAATTGTGAAATTATGTGATCATATTTATATTCTGATTTTTCATTTAACAGACTATCATATGTATTGTCGCATGTTCTAAAACTTTTCATAAGAATAATTTTTAATATATGCACAATATTTCCCTATCATTGTGTATAATAACAATGGTAGCTAAAATTGTTTGTGTGCCAACTACATTCCTAGTGCTTTACATATTTTATCTCATTTAATTGGTAAAACAATTCTAGGAAATAAGCATTGTCTCCATTTTACTGATGAATAAAGTAAAGTTGAGAGAAATTTAGTCACTTGTATGAAGTCACCTAGCTATCAAATGGCAGTTCCAGAACTCAAATTCTAGGCTGCCTGATTGGGTTATAAAAGCCCATAACCTTTCTTCTATTATGACACACTGTTTCTCTCAGATTGGCAAAGAATATCTTAATGCTGAAAGGTTTGGATACATTTCTAACTATTCCCTCAAAGTAGATTCCTAAAAGTCTTATGTGAAAGGATATTTTAAGCTTTTGAATACATATGCACAAAATTTTTTTTTTTGCAGATTTTGTACCAATTTACACTTCTACTAGCAGTGAATGAGAGTTGTTTACCACACTTTCACCACCAATGGGTATTATATTTTAAAGAACTGTCTAATTTTACAAGTAAAATTATAACTTGTTATTTAAATTTGCATTCCTTTGATTAATAAATAAGGCCAGATGTGTTTTCTTGTATTTCTTGGCCATTGGCCCTTATTTTGTGAACTTCTATTTCATGTACTTTGCTCATTTAAAAAAAGTTAGTACGTTTTTCTTCTATACTGAAAAAACTGCTTTGTATTTTAGGAACAGTAGCTATCTTTCTGACATGTATTCAAATATTTTCCCTAGTTTTTTAGTTATACTGTAATTTTATTTATGATGATTTCGTTTACATGTAGAAATTTTTCATTTTTAATAAAATCTTTTTTTGTATTTTTCATTGTTTTCAAGCCTAGAAAGTCTTCCTTAATTCTTATCTTTAATAACCACTTCTATTTTTACAGTCTTCACATTGAACTTATTTTAATAAATTCACTTGAAATTTATTTTGATCTATGCTGTAAGTAAATACTTTTGCATTCTCTTTCCTATTTAACTATCTACAAAGCATTATTAGTTATCCTTTTTAATGACTGTATATTCCATCTTTTTTTTTCTTTGAGACAAAGACTCACTCTGTTGCCCAAGCTAGAATGCAGTGGTGTCAGCCTATCTCACAGCACCCTCAAACTCCTGGGCTCAAGCAATCCTCCTGTCTCGGCCTCCCAAGTAGCTGGGGACTACAGGTGCATACCACACACCCAGCTAATTTTTCTATTTTTTTTTTTTTTTTTTTGTAGAGACAGGGCCTTACTCTTGCTCAGGCTGGTCTTGAACTCCTGAGCTCAAGCAGTCTTCCTGCCTCAGCCTCCCAGAGTGCTAGGATACAGGCATGAGCCACTATGCCCAGCCTTTCCATCATTTTTATTTACTATAATTTACTAAGTCTTTCTCTATTATTATACATTTAATCTTATTTTTAGTTTTTGCTATTTTATATTCCAAAAAGTTTCTTGAGTATTGGGTTTTTGATCCTATTAAATAATTTCCTTAAGTGTGATTTCTGGTTCAAAGGATACTGTTATAGAATTAGTTTACTACTCAGTTGGTATGCAAATAGATGATTGGTCTTTCATGAATCTATAATATTATTGAAAAACAGCTGTCTCAATAATACTATGTTTATGTTGTTGTTGCTGCTGCTGTTGTGTTTTACAAAGCCTCACTTTCTCCTGGGAAGCAACATGACAAAATTGACAATAAACCATACATACTTAAAGTATACTATTTTATCAATTTTGGCATATGTATATACCTACAAAACCATCACCACAATCAAGATAACCAACATTTCCATCTTCCCTAATATTTTCCTCTCAGCTCCTTATAATACCTCCCTCCCTCTATCCCTGTCCCCAAGCAACTATTAATCTGCTTTTTATCAGTATAGACTACTTTCCTAGAATTGCACATAAATGGGATCATATAGTATATATTCTATTTGGTTTGGCTTTCACTTAGCATAATGCATCTCAGATTCATCCATGTTGTTGCATATATCATTAGTTCATTCCTTTTTATTGCCAAGTAGTATTCCATTGTACACATGTACCACACAATTCATTTTTCTGTTCACTTGCTGATGGCAATTTGAGTTGTTTCCAATTTTTTGCTTTTCATTACCTTGAAGTTTCTAAGATCCAATAGTAGAATAACAGGAAACTGTACATTTAATATCGCAGTTTACCAACTGGTTCTAAATATCAACTGCAAAGATGTGTGTGCTAAAGATATAAGTATATACATATATAAAGGATAAATTATTATGATAACCCTTATGCAAATTTTTCTTACCTTTTCATGGACTACACTGTCTAGGTAAGGGTAAATATGAAAAGCTCCCCGAATTCTCTTTACACCTGGATATAGCAATGGGACCATATTAACATAAGCTACTCCATGAAATGAAAGCTGACCTTCATCCTCAGTCTAAAGGAATAAAATCAGAGAATAGTTAGTGCTAAAAAGTACTGTACCATAAGGTATAGTGCCCTGACTCAGCAATTCAAAGACCAGTTTTAGAAACTAATTCTGCTACTTAACTAGTTACCTGACTTTGGGGCAGTTACATAGATATTTGGGGCCTCAGTTTCTTTATCTTCAAAATGGGTTTAATAATACCATGATCACTAAGATAATGCACATAAACAGTGTTAATGAATGGTACTGGCAGTAATCGGGTATCAATACATACTCAAATTAATTTATAATACATATATTCAATAAAAAGTCTATTTCACCATGTTGTTTCTTACAAGAAATGAAGCTTTATAAAAAAATAGTAACAACAACAAAAAGTTCAAAGAAATCAGAAGTTGTGGCTTTTAGCTTTAGTTCACAAACTCATAAGAATGAAAGGGGCCTTACAAATTATCTGGACCAATGATGAAAAATACACTTTAACTATGCCTAAATTCTCATCAACTGGTGGAGGTGTCTCAGCATGCTTTGTTGAGAAAGATTCTGTGTATTTATCTGGGCTCAGAAGGAAACAGTGCTTTGGCTGATTAGCAATATCTGCTATGGATGAAGAAGGACAAATGACAGCCTGCAATCATGTATTTGCCATACTGGATCTCACCTAAATTCTCATGGCAAAGATGAAGAACATGGTAATAACTATATCTTAACATCACTTTAAATGGTTATATGGTTTGCAACAGAAAATTTTTATAGGGAAAAATCAATTTGGTGAATGAAAGCACATTTAATTACAAGCTTAAAAGTAACCTCTTTGATTTCATCTACAATGATAATAATTAGAAACTAGATTAAAAAGTCTTGTGTTCATTTGATAACATTATGTGGTCTAAAAGTCTAAAGAAAGCTAGCCAATACATACACTACAAAGGGAGAAATGGTTATATGGTGGTAGTAATTTTACTAGGCAAAAATATCTAGTTTAAAAAGCAATCAAATAATTTAGATACTTGTTATGTACCTGTTATATGCCATGTATCATGCTAGTACTGTGGAAGACACAAAGCAGTCTACTATACCACCTTTACCCTCAGGGAGTTTATAAGCAAGAAGGAAAGACCAGACATGCACAAGTAAAACAATAGAGAACATGGTCAAGGCTCATCCAAGCTATAGCTTTTCAGAATAGTAATATGTCTATGAACCTTATTATATTAATTAACAGACAAAAACATTTTGAGTAGCTAAATCTAAAATAAATTTAGAAAATTATATTGGGTTGAACTATATTGCCAATATTCAACAACTTTTGACCTAGATAGATGCCTATTTCATGTGGTTTTACCTATGGCAAAACTATAATGAAGTACTAAAGGGAAATAGAATATCTTGGAATAAAGCCTGAAAAATTTTTAGTGAATAATAGGGAGCTAGGGTGGCCAATAATCCTGGTTTTCCCAGGTCAAAGGGGTTTCTTGGAATATGAGACATTCAGAGCTAAAACCAGAAAGGGTTAGGACAAATGATTTGGTCACTCTAGGAAGAACAGCAATATCAGTTCACATTTTCCTTTGGTATCAGAACTAGAAGCAGAATAACAGGTTGGGTCTGATACTGCATTTCTTACATAAATATTTTTGAGTGAACACATTTACCTTATCTAATTTGCCAGCTTTCCCTTTGGGTAGAGCAATCAGAGGAACTCTTGTGATCTCCACAGGCCAAAGCCGGCAATCAGCAATTCGCTTCTGAAAACTGCATATCAAAAAATCAGCCAATTAATATGATATGCAAAATTAGGGTCAGTATAACTTAGGTTAAAGGGAAATAGTCTTCTTTTATAGAAAGTAATGGAATATACACACACACATATATATATATGTAATTTTTTTATTAGGTTGGTGGTTTTTTTTTTTTTTTTTTTTTTTTTTTTTTTTTTCTTACATTTAACTGATAATATTTGGGAATGGAGAGACAGAGTCTCACTTTGTTGCCCAGGCTAGAGTGAGTGCCGTGGCGTCAGCCTAGCTCACAGCAACCTCAAACTCCTGGGCTCGAGTGATCCTTCTGCCTCAGCCTCCCGGGTAGCTGGGACTACAGGCATGCGCACCATGCCGGCTAATTTTTTATATATATATATCAGTTGGCCAATTAATTTCTTTCTATTTATAGTAGAGACGGGGTCTCGCTCTTGCTCAGGCTGGTTTTGAACTCCTGACCTTGAGCAATCCGCCCGCCTCGGCCTCCCAAGAGCTAGGATTACAGGCGTGAGCCACAGCGCCCGGCCTAGGTTGGTGGTTTTTTAAACCTTCCAAAATCTATAAAATTCTAAAAATAATCCTACTCAACTGCTAGCAGGGTAAAATTGCACATTTTTTAGAGCAATCTGGCAACATGAATCAAAAGCCTTAAAATGTCCATAATCTTTGACTATAAATTCAACTGCTAATGATTTATTCTAAAGAAACAGACAAGTTTGCAAATGGTATAAAAATATTTATTTCTTTTGTGAAAATAAAGTAGGTCTTCCAGTTTCAACTAGAAGTTGACACAGCTTTGAAGTAGTCTCTCCTGTTTTCACAACAAGAAAAAAACAGGTGAAATAAAAAATCAACAACATTTCTTAGATTCATCATAAAATTGAAGTCATAGGTCAAATTGCCAACCTGAAAAAATAAACCA